TGAATGGACAACGGATTTGCTCCGTAAACCTGCACCCAATTCACAATGAGAAGGATTTTAAAAGGAAAGGAAACAACACATGGATTCATAAGGAAAAAACACCCTTGGTCTCCCTTCTCCCTCTACCTCCCATTCTGGGTTTGCTGGAAAACTCCTGGAAGAGATGTCTGCTCTCTACAAGTCTCTTTCCCACTCTCTCTGGAACCCACTCAGTGAGGTTTTCCTCCTCGATGTCCTGCTGAATCTGTTCATCTTCAAGTTTCCGGTGACCGTGGCTGAACTCCTGGCTCCCCATGACTCACCTCTCCCAGTTCTCAAAAGACGTCCCTCCGGTGGTTCTGAAGGCACACACTCTAGGCTCCCGCCTGCCTCACTCACTGGTCGCCCTTCCTTGTCTCCTTCCCGCCCACGTTTGAATGTCATTGCTTCCCAGGGCTTAGCCCTTGATACCTCCTTCCTTTTAGCCTCACTAGCTCAGCGAGACTGTTCCTAGTCTCATGATTTTAAGTGGCACATTTCCAGATACTGGCAAATCCGGTATTTATATTTTAGGCTAAAATGTTGAACTGCCTACTTGACAGACTGTGTTGTTAGATGCCGCGGAGTCAGTGCTGAGTCATAGCCACACGGTGTACAACCAGTGCACCTGATCTTGTGTGTGTGTGTGTGTGTACACAGTGTGCCTGGTCTCGAGCCATCTTCACAATTGTTATGTTTGAGCCTATTGTTGCAGCCACCGCATCAGTCCATATCCTTGAGAGTCTTCCTACTCTTCCCTGAGCCTCTATTTACCAAGCATGGTGTCTTTTTCTAAGGCCTGGTCCCTCCTGTTAACATACCAACGCCCCAAGGAGCACTGTTGGGCTTGAACTGCTGACCTTGCAGTTAGCAGCCCAGTGAATGACCCACAGTGCCACCAGGACTCTTTGAATGGAGTATACAGAGGGCTATGTTATGAAAACTTCTTAGAACCCAAAACCTTGAAGGAATGAATCACTGGGCCTGAAGGCTCAGAACCATCGTCTTGGGGGATTCCAATGTCAATGGGCATCACCTGGGTCACTAAGACAGTGTTCTCGCAACCTCCTTTGGTGAGTAGCCACAGAGGTCTTCAATGCTCAGGGGCAGCCATGTGAAGTACAACAATTGGTCCTTCCCTGCCGAGAGGGGAAACAAGAGTGATAAAAATCAAAATACATAGGATAATGTAGAAAACACCAGTCCACTGGTTTCACTGGTCACACAAACATTGGTCACTACAGCTTTGAGACCAAAAGAACTAGGTGGTGCCCAGCTACCACTGCCAACTACTCTGAAAAGAATCACATCAGAAGGTCCTGGATGGAGTGGGAGAAAGATGAGGACCAGAATTCAAAACCATTAAGAAGGTTTAGTTTATTGGCTGGATAGAGACTGCTGGTGGGCCCCTTGAGACCATAGTCTCTAGTCACCCTTCAGGTCTGGAAAGGAACTCTCCCTCCACACCCTGGGTTAGAATAATCAACCATTTAAGACCAAAAGGGCAGCATCTACCCAAGGACACATTCAGAGGCTTAGAAAAGGAGGAGGAATGGAGAGAGCAAACACAAGTAAGAAGTAGGATAAGTGAGGAATGACAATGAATAAGTTGAAACAAAATATATGTGAACCGCTGACTGTTAACACTGATGCT